GCTTAGTAAAAAGAGATTTCTTGGCGGGTACGCTGGTACACCTGAAACAGACTGGGAGTTTTACTTTGTGCTCCCTGTCTATATCAAGCACTTCAAGTCCGGATATGCGCTCACTGGCAACGCAGACATTCTGCTCCTGCATGGTGCTTAACATCAACTGAGTCTCTGGCCCCTTGACATTCATTCTCTCACAGAGATCCCTCAACACAAAGCTTGTATTTGACTGCTCGTCAAGAAAGGCGTACTCCAGAAACTCTGCCGAAGGGTCATCTTCAGAGCGCACCAAGACAGGAATGATCATCGAGTGGTTGCTGTCTCCACCCTGGTCTGGCTGAGCACACACTTGTGCACAGCTGGATGTTCCCTCGTCTGGCTTAAGAGTCGATGGTGTGAATGGGGTAGCCTGACTAGATAGTTGGCTTGTCACTTGACCGGGTACACTTGACTGTGGTTGACTGGCTGTATTTGCTGCACCTGTTTTGTCTCGACTTCGATGAAGACAGGTGAGATGTGCACCTGCACAAATCCGGCAAACTTGCTTATTGGCAGAGTCCTTCACTTGGTGATCAACTGCACTTGCACATCCCATGCAGAGTCGTCTCTGAAAGAAGAACTCTCTCCTTTCTTTGAACAAGTTGCACTCATCTATGGAGTGACACTTCTTGCAGTAGTAGCAACGATCATCACTTGATGATTGAGCCCTGTTAAAGCTCCCGCCACTCTGCGTTGAGGATCTTGACTTCTCATGTTGGTGTGTTGTGGTTGCAAACGCACTGGCCTTCTTCCCTCTGCCACTCTTCACATTAGCATCTGATGTACTTGAGTGCTGTTTGTCTTGACTTCTTGCAACACTCTGTAATTCGGGAATGTTGGCCTTGTATGCTGCATTCTTTATGAATTTCACAAATTCAGTGAAAGGGGGGAAGGTGTCATGACCATGTTTCCCTCTCCAGGAATCGATCCTGTCTCTCTATTTACTCTCGAGGAAGTATGGCAGCTTCTCAACTAGGTGGACATTTTCACTTGGGTAGTCTAGTACTCCTAGACTTGACACCGTTGCTCGAATGGCTTCAATTTTCCAAAGGAAATTAGCAAAATCTCTCAGCCTGGAGGAATCTTTGGGAGCCAACTTTGGCCACTGTTGAAGCTTTCTTGTGAATGCCTTGAATACTNAGTGCACTGAGTCCAACCAAGTTAACTCTGCATCCGTTCGTAGATTTTCAACATTTGGTTTACTCTCAACCAATCATCTCCCACACAAGTTGTCCCAAGGGGCCCACAGATGGGCAGAGTATACCTGTCCACACTACAGGGAGTTCAGTGTCAGCATTAGGTGAGAGTAAGACACAAGTGGATGGCCTGCCCAAGGCAGATTGGATATTACAAGACAGCTCCTTACAAACGCTATGGTGCTGTAGCTGTTAGTGCTCACTGTGCTTAATCAATTTGTGAATCATGAATATTTATGTCTGGAATAGTTGGAATAATTTCATGAAGCGACAGAGGGAATGCCAAATTCCATGAAGGAAAGCTGAGTAAAAAGGAAGATTCCATCTGCCATGGAATGATGTTGTTCTTTCCATTGCATTCATGAGCATTCGTTCAAACATTCAAAGGCTGATACATGCCATGGGCATGTATAGATAATAGGCTGAATACGTTCTTTCTTTCTCAAGATGTGTTGCAAAGTTGCAGCATTCACTGACTGGTGATTGGTTCAGGGACCATTTTACAAATTTTGGATCTAATTCTTTGAGGCCATTTCATATCTGATGTATGATTTTGTAGGTTTAGGGCACATTCTTTAATTTCCATTGGTGAAAAATAATGCAAATTACAATTACCTGCCAAAGAAATGAAATAGTTTGAAGTCAATTATAGAGATTTCCATGTCAATGCACATCTCAGGTGTAACAGGGACACAAAGATGTCCCACTTTTGGACTCAAAATGTATAATACAACTCTCATAGTCTCTGATAAATCTTCCCAAAGTTATGTGATTCTTCTGTTTTGTTTATTTCAGACATCTCTCAAACAACTTCTCAGCTAGTGAGCTTGTTGGCTTCAACAACACTGGAAATGTTTGTACGTTTGTCACCCTTTCAACACAATCAACTTTGTTTCTCAAATTTCGTTACCACGTTTGGAAAGTGCAGAACTGCACGTACTCATGTTGGACTGCCTCTGTTATTCCAATACAGATGTTGCTCTCCTTTTGTGAAGATTTCAATTTTGAAACAAGTTTATTTGAAGAATTTGTATTTTATTCACTAAAGGCTTCACTTAGACAAAGGAACTGTACGTACATGTAGCAGATATAATGAGTAACACCCTAAATCACAGGTGTGTGGCCTGCAGAAGAGGTCTTGACTTTCCACTGCTTGAAGAATGCAGAATCATTCAAGTAAGTGCTTGGACTGCATTTTGTTTTGTTATTGTTGAGTTGAGATGTGTTTGTTCAGTGTTAATGCATCAAGTCTGGGATGATATACTTTTTCTGTTTGGTTGGGTTAGGTTAGGGTTAGGGGTTTGCTGTCCTCTGCTGCATGAGAAATTAATCTGTCTGCAGTTGACAAGTTATGTGTTTGTTTTTTTCAACAGATGGTTTCATTACAACAATTCTATGATTTGATTTATTCTATTTGTTTGGCTATTGCATAGAGAGCGTTGTTCTACGAGGGATTTGTATTGATGCCATTTGCATTTAGGAATCTGTTCAACAAATGTTCTGGTCTACATCGGTGTTGTCAACTTGGAATTGTTTTGTGAATTATGCCAATCATGCAAGTTCTTTCCAAAAGCTTTCTTGTAACGTTAACCATTTTCATGCTGTTGATCGTGTTCTTTTACCACAGAAATCAAAGAATATGTGAACTCGGAGGAGGCATGACATGTTTAGCAGGTATTGCAGTAAGTACATCACAATTCAGGAACTTTTTTAAAAGGAAGAATGTCAGGTAGGAAATTTCAGTTTATCTGGACATTGACACTGTTCCAGAGCTATGGCTGGGTCTTCTGGCCTCATGTTACCATGCATTTGAAACCAGTCAAGACTGAGACCTAGCCCTAGACTTACGCAAGGTTCAGACATGGACTCGTGCAAATTTCATGAAGCTGCTAATAAAAGGAAAGGCGGTTAATGTTAAAGAACTGAGATCATATATTCAGCCCAAAATAGCCAGGAACGATTCAAATGTCCTGCACATTCAATATCAGTTGGTAGCATGCTTGAGGGAGGAAAAATCTTGTTGAGATCAAACAAAGTTGGTATTATTTTCTTTCACGTGTTTTGTTTGTCCTTTGTTTCGTCAGGTTGCTGTGTGCACAGATGCAGCTGAGGTGCTGCTGACAGACGGAAATGAAAATTCAGTCCAAAGTATCCTTTGAAGATGTCTAATAGATGCCATCCTGGGGAAATGTATAACATACGCCATCTGGTAAAGAGTTGTCCACTAACTGGAAAATCAGGACAGAGACCATGCCTGAACTTTTAATTGGTTTCAAATCTGTTGGGGATCGTGTAGATTTGTTTCAAAAACAAATATAGAAGCACTGACACTGTACTGTGAAAGTATGAACTTCAAAAATGTTCAAGTTCTGCTTTTTACTTTGAATATCAATACAGCACCACCAAACTTTTTTATATTATTTCAAGACTGTTTTTCCAATTAAGATGCTGCAAGTATTCACCGTTGCTCTCATAGACCCTCCATGGCACATATTTCAGTATTTGCCTTGAAAATGTCCAATAATCAGTTGCAGTTAATTATATCAAGAGTTAGTGCCATGTGCTCCAAGAAATGCTTAGATAAAGTAGCAAATCAGCTGTTGGAAAATACAACAGTGCCCTTGCTGTTACCTATTTCACCCATTAAACCTTTCCATGCTGAGTCCTTGCTGATTATCTTTTGTACTCCAGCATCATTAATCATCCCACAACCTGTTATATTATACAGGATTATATTGTACTTTTACCCCCAGATTAATCCCATCAAATGATACAGTGCTTGGTGATTTGGGAAGGTAAAGGAACTAATAGGTTGAATGTCCAAGTAACATCCCATTTTAGAAATGTGTACCTTTCAGTTGACAGTTTTGTTGTCGGGGATCAAACAAATTTAAAGTCAAATTGTTTTTCTTTAGTAGTGGCCGGCGCACCCCGTCATATTTCTGTTTGAAATATGTTATTCACAGCCTGTTTGTTTTCATTAACCAGTGAAAAAAAACCAGATGTGCAAGAAATTCTTGCTGAAAATAGGTCCAAGATTTGTCAAACAAGCATTGCTGTAAGGTAATGGTGATTTAGTAAATGTCTCGACAAAAGGTAATCATTTGAAATATTCTGATCATAGCGTGCCGTGTCTAATCCTGTACACAGAAATTTGCTGTACCTACAATATTCTCTGGCTGTAGAATGGTCTAATTTTATGATTTGTTGATTACAAAATATTGCTGTTGGATTATCCTATAGATCTGAATATGAAGGAGCTTGTCTTGTTACTTTGTGATAGGACTTTAGTATCAAAGTTCAATTTTTGGACAATTCTGATTTTTTAATGTAAAATATCTTTTATTATGAATAGCATGCGGCATATTTAATACTACATGTTATTATGTGGAAGTGCACTTCAAAATCAAGACCCACTTTGTGAAATCTTTTACATGAGATTGCTATTTATTCTGGTCATTGTATGATTTGCTTTCTTGCATCCAGGGAATTGAAGTGGAATAAGAGACAGACATTTGAGGATTTGAATGGACACTTTGATCATGTGATATCTGCAGACTGGTATGATTGACAGTAGGATGTCATCTTTATGTTAGCACACCCATTATTTTGTCATCAGAGAGGGAAACATGCACACCCATTATTTTGTCATCAAAGGGGATAACAACAAGAGAAAAAGAAAATAAAAATAATTTCTTGTCTTTTTCTGCTTTCGTTTTTCCCTGCCCATTTTTTCAGGGAGGAAGGGGAGGTTGGCAACTTTGCAGGGCAGTTTGACTCTAGTCATAGATGCCAGTTTAAAACCGGTTATGATGAGAATGGTTTAGACACCAAAATGTCAGCAGAGGAGTCAGTAATATCCATTTACAATCTTCAGTAAACTCTGTCTTAAAATGGGGGAGGGCAGCATCCCGTTTTTCCTCATAAAATCCTGGGCGAAAAATAATTGTTTCAACCTAGCCCAATGTAATATCCCATTGTTGGATGTCTTTGTGGGCCATTCTGTTGGTAGATGAAAGAACTACATTCAAGTAGTTTTGTATGGAGGGAACTTGTAGTAGATAGGCTTCATCCCTCTTCATAGCCAAGGGATTCTTCTTCCGTACAAAATTTTTTAAATTAAACCTGTTAATCACCCAGTATACTTCCTGGATTAAAAATTAATTTTCCCTTTAACAGTTCACTCCATGCATCCTCAGCAAAGTGTGAAGTGGGTCAACACTGGGATGTCACTGTGCTCAATGTTTTCCATAACATCCAATATTTTGTTTCTAGGAGAATTCTCACACTGACTTCAGCTGGTCCTGCATGGCAGATTTCCCTGCGCCTGACAAATACTAGATTTGATTTATGAATATGTTTTACTGAATTTAAGTTATTCCTACTCTAGAACTTTCAATTGTTGAGTTTGTAGTCTTATTTTATTTCCAGTCTGTTCTTTGACCGGTTTAGACAAGACTTAGTGGATACTATCGATGTTCTTCTGAAACCAAAGGTAATTACCTCTCCAGTAGTCCTGAACATTTACATGTATGTTGTGATTCAAAATTGTCATGAGAAACTATGACGTGTATTTGGAGTTAGCAGTCCCTTCTTTTTTGAGTGTTGTTCCTCGTCTCTCTGGTCTTGAACTGTTAGAGTACTTTGTTGTGCTAGGAGAATGTATTAGGGAGGGCAGCAATTATAAATGAGAGAATTCTGTGAAATTTTCAGTGTTCCCTGTGTTAGGTTTTCAGATGTTTTGAAGCACATGTTTGAAATTTGATTCCTGTGTATTTGGATGTCACGCTTAATGCTTTTTTTCTGGATTCTTCTAACATGAGAATTTGTTTCTTCTGCTAAAACATTGTAATTTTTGAATAATTTTCTCTTCTCTAGGGAGTAGCCACCATCTTTGCACCACACAGAGGCAAGACACTGGAAGACTTCTGTCAGTTAGCTAGGCCAAGATTTACCGTGGAAGTTGACTGCAAGTACGATCAGCTTGTGTGGCAAAAACATCAAGAGGTGTGTGTTGAGATGAGGCCTAAATTAAGTCTTAATCCTCAAAGATTAGGGCTTTAATCTAAAGTAGCAATTCAATACTGTGAGCCTTTAAAGAAGATTACGTTGGTCTAAAAATAAACTCTTGTTGGGGATCAGTGTCCGTTGTCAAAGTAACAATCTGTAACCCACTGTGATGGCCCATGGATGAACACTAGAACACAACTTATCTACCTCTTGCTCCTTGGACGAACACATTGTGTGGTGTCTGTGGATCAAGTGAATTCATCCGTGTAAACTTTGATGGCTTTGTTGACTTCAGAGAGGTCAAAACAAGCTATCTGCTATTCAAGACACAAGTATGTGTGGCAGTTAAGTGGTGTTTTTACAAAACCCTTCATCGATCACAATCGTTGTTAAAAACATTTTTATCCTGCCACAGTAGTTTGTTCAGGATATGACACTAGTACTTCTATAGCTGACACCGAGAATGTATACATTCCTTTGATCTTTGTTTTTCAACCTTAAGCAGATTTGAACTTGAAAGCCTGCTTATGAATTTGTAAGAAATCTTGCACTCCCCCCCCCCTCTCTCTCTTAGATGCTTACTCAGGGGAAGGAGGTATATGATGAGGACATCCACTACCCTGTCATGATCACTCTCACAAGGTGACCATCCCTGGGGACCAATCTTGAATTAATTACAGAAAGTGTAAACACGCTTAGATGCTTTTGATGGGAGTTTTACTCCCTAAGACGACTCCTGTGGGAATTTAAGCCTGAAATCGTGGAGTGCCTTCCAACAGTAATGATGTGCGGAAGGTATTTGAGTGATGCCTTCTAAGGTCATGGGCCAGATTTGTTACGGAGGTGTAACTTATGAAAAATGTTGAATCCCATCAGGACTATGTGTCTTACAGGGTATGTTATCACATTTTCTCCATCCTAGCCAGGGTGGTTGGGGCAGTTCTCTTGTCTCAAGATAATGGTAGATCATGGTTAGATTCTATCTAATTTGACCAAATGACTGGGTTATAAATTAGTATGTTAAACTAGAGCATTAATTTTTAAACTTTCGTTGGATTGCGCCACAGTTGTGTGACTGGAGACACCTCTCTTTGGGGATTTATAAGCCTCAAGGCTTCAAATGCAGCAAGTAACAAAATGGGAATTTACACATAGTTAACCCCACCTGGGATGTATGTAAAACCATATTGAAATCAGAGGATTTGGGACTGTTAGGGATAGCTATTACGACTTTTTTCCATGTCAGTAGTGAAAAAATATGATCTATTTAACCCTAAATATTTGGTAATGGTACAAGATTCAATAAATTATGAATTGAAGTGTGATGGACAGTGTGTTTTCTCTTTTGTGGTCAATCTTCCATCTGACGAAAGGCAAAAGGTTAATCATATTGTGCAAGGTGTTAGCCTTTTTCACAGGGAAAGTGTTTTATTATATAGAGAATCTATCAAAGTCTTTCCTGAAACTAGGCATTGAAGAATTGTTCAGTAGTCCGTAAAATGAACAAAATAGAACCCCACAATTGAAGGTCAAATCTCCTGGGGTTTGGACATCAACAGCGATCGTTCCTTTAGTTCAGTCTGTAGTGTGTGCTACGTGCAGATTTTCAAGGACGGCCGTATTAAAGCAGTGTGCCTGCGTTGAAGGGTTACTTCTATTCTTCCAAGTCTTGCAGTTTGTTGGCAATGCTTACTAGACCAAAAAATCTTCATGTTTCCAGAAATACAATGTATACCAACACGATTCATTTGTGGTAATTGACCACTGGTGTGTGGAATTTGCGGGTTTCATTTATTCTTCCTGGAATTTCTCAATGAACTACGTTTAGTGCCCATGCCACAGATTAAATGCGACTTATGGTGACGTCAATGACGTGATCCCCCAGTTAGACATAATTGAAAGGAAAGATAATCAGCCTCCAAGATCAAAGGATTTTATTAGGAAGTCAGCAAAAGTCACAGTTCACCTAATTGTGAAGCTGCAATAATACAGCTTTTGTAGGGTTCTGAGCATGAGTTTTGTGAAAAATTTGTCGCCTATTTGCTGCGGAATCATATTGTTTTGGGCCTGTTCGTGTTTTTCTGAAGTTTTCAAGGCCGACAAATCCGCAGTGCTGTCTTTTTCCTCACTCGACTTCAAATCCGTTATTTCACTCTGTCTGGAAAATTATTACGCGTCAGCCATGAGCGTCAGGTCTCGTCCCGTGTAGACTCTTTTAAAGAGGAGTTACTGAATCTCCTGGTTCAGAGTGAACATTAAACTATGTATAGGAGCAGCTTTGCTGGAGGTTGTTTGAAGTGGTTTCCTATTGTTGGATTGTGTTTGAACCTTGTACAGTAGCCGTAAAAAGCTTTCAGATTTGAATGGAGAGGGGTCGCGAATCGTGACCGGGAGTTGTCTGCTATACATTTATCAAAGTTGTATCCATGTTACAGTCATGTTGTTGGAAACATGCGGAATTTTCAAAAGAAATTAATTGCAGGAATTTTTGATGTGGATGATAAACTGAAGTGTTTAAATATTTGTCGCGTTTCACAACTGGGGCAAGAGTTTTGAAAATGATGCAGATTTTATTCATTCTGTATGTGTGTTTTGTTTTTGTTTTTGTTTTTTTTCCAAGTCCTGAAAAGAGAAAAAGCATCGGTGAAAATAGCAAAGTTTTCAGAGGCTAGGCCGTTTTCCAATACTCAACTTCGTCTCCGTCTCAGACTTCGTGTAGGAAACCAATCCCCGATTGTGGGCCTGAAGTGTTTAACTTAAATTGAAGTAGGCCTACTGCAATGTTTGGGGGGCTTTTTGCACCTTACTTGATGTTTTGTGGCACTATCAAACTTGCTATTGCGCCTACAGCCTTAAAGTCAGGAAGTAAAAAACAGTTGAAGCCTGAGACGAAGCCAATGCTAATCGGGTATTTGAAAACGGCCTAGTACTAGGATGCAGTAAGTCTCCGTACAATGCATAGGCCTATCTGTTTGTGTGTTCTTCGACGGATGAAGTGTCACTGTATAGGTTTTCACGACCATTTTAATAGGTTTGACGCTTTAAACTTTGCATCTGTTCAATTTAGCAGACGATAGACCTATTAGGCTTTGCTTAACCGATGAAACGGGGCTACAACGTGACTGGTGTGAGTTTTTGCCACTTTCAGGAGTGTAATTTCACAACTTTCGGAATCTTAAAGGAATCGTACAACGGAAAGTAGTCTAAAGCACCTCAATTTTATACGAAAAGGGGACAAAAGATTATTCATTGAATTCATTGAAATCATCATTCATTGAAATTGGTGTCCACTCCTCATAGCACCAGTTAGAGCTTACACTGCACCCCAACCGTGCGGGAATGACCTCATAGATTTCGACCAATGACTATAAGGAGCTAACACAAAACGCAGTCCCAGTCCTACACAATCATAATCAAAAGAGGATTATCTGTCTTTGAGATCGAAAAAAAGACGCACGTCACAACATTGTACCCCTAAGGCAACTAGATCTGCGGAACAAGCAAACCGTATTGCACGAGGCGGCTTGTTTTGGCAGATCTTTTAACCGTTTAAAGCAATTATTGACGAGCTCCACTGCATTATTGATGACGTTGAAGTAACTACGTAGTTGCGCGGATCCAATCAGTTGCCGCTGTGTTGGCTTAGAATAATATGCAAAATCGGCATCGATTAGTCCCGACCAATGCAGAGGGAAATTAAAGTTGCGTCCAACTAAGAAACTATCATTTGAAGGTTCAGTTTGAAAGTTACAGCATGGTACTCGAAATTAGTTTATTAATGCAACGACCTAGTTTAGCTGTAAAGATTCAACCGAAGTTACAAATACATGACTTTCAGTGGAATTATTCCGTTTTAACTACATGTAATTACGTCTTCCGTCACTAACCGCACTAACCGAATATTTTAGTGGGACTCAACAGTTTCCGAATATCAGAGAAAAGTTTGGTAACATTTGGCAACTGCAAGATATCATACTCAAAGTAAGGAAAACGGAAGAAGTTGGCAAAACGTCAAAATTGTGTGCTTAGGATGGGACAAACATATCTTCGTGGCCATTTTTTCCCAAGTAAATGTTTCTATTTACTGAGAGGTCTGCGCTCAAACACGCAGGAACTAAAACAAAACCAATTGTCAGTGCTTATATTCACCAAATGTCAGCAACAGAAAATGACAAGCAAACCCCAAGAATGTGAGAGTGAATGTACTAGGTTTTGATCCCGGCATCAAAAGTTGAAGAGCCCGGTGTTCCCCATCTGGTAGGCCTATACCAGGCACAAAATAGGACAGAGGGGTACCCCCCATGCAAGTCCAATACATATACACACTCCAACCTTGTCACTTAACACATCCCCCTAGGTATCTGAAAAGAATTCCTGAGATACCAGAATAACAATGACCAACACAAAGGCGGGGGTTCTCTCTGTCCCATAGTTTGCATCAAATGTCATCCTGAGTACTTTTTCCAAGTTAGAAGGAACAAATCTGAACTGCCTGCCTTCTACGTACCATTCATGACACTATTATGCATGTTGTCGAAACTCATAAATTGTCTCCCCCCCCCGGAAATGAACTCCCTCATTGTGCTGTCCCACAAACTTAAACCCAGATTCGCCTCTACTGGGGACGCAAAGAAGCCGAAAAATCTCACGGTTTCTGATAATTTTTTCAATTAGTTTCTTTATCCTCTGTTGACACAAAGCGTCAAGTGCTACGAGCAAAAAAACACTAGCTAACCTCTTCCTATAAATATTGATTCAGAAAATTCATTATAAAAATTAACAATTACTTTGTTGGCAAACCGTTTTGACCTCTTCTTTTACGATTACGTCAGCCCGTCGCAAACCAACCGACCCCCCTCCCTGTTTCTCTCCTTGTTTCATGCTGACCAGTGTAAAGCCCATATCTTAAAGACATTTTCTATGATTGGTTTGGGTAACTATACATCATTTGATTCCCCTTATAATGCTCATATGTGACCCACTCTGTGAAAATAGTCTTCTTGAGTTGCCAGAGGCACATTTTGAGTTTTCATTTGTATTCGAAAGAGCAAATGGGGCTTTTTGTTTTCATGTGGAAAGTGGTTACTGTGGAAAGTGGTTACTTTTCATGTGTAAAAGTGATTATGGAAGTGGTTACTCCATGGTGAAAATGCTGTGGGTTCCCATTGATTTACATTGTGCAAAATTAGTCTAAAGGACTTTTTACTCCAAAGTGGCTCTGGCGACTTAAGACTCCTTTTTGCAGAGTGGGTGGCATATCAACAAATACAACTGTCAAATTGAACTGTTTCATTAAAATGGTAGCAGTTTTAAAAGAAACGAATTCAGAGAATTATTCGACGGCGGTTTCTTAAAAAGTAACACACACAGAAGTAGCAAATCGACATCGTCTGAAAATCACTTAATAGCACTGGTCTGGAACTGGCGGACTACCATCACCATTTTAGCTGCCGATGCGAATTTCTCAAGTGGTTTCATGCCATCCATGCCTCCAGCCGAAGCAATCAGTATTCTAGGAGCACTGAGTTTTGACTCGGTCCGTTTGGGCAAATCCTCTGGGGTGCCGGTCGGTCTCACTTCAGCCATCTCCTGCAGTTCTCGGAGACGTTCGCTGGTCAGATGATGGTCTGCGTTACTGCTGGTATCAGATCCGTCGTCGTCAAACTCCAACACCAGTTCACCTCGTTTCAACTTCTCATATTCCTCTTCAGAATCGAACCCAAGCCACACGTACATTTCGTCGGCTTTATCCGAGCGAATTAGGTCATTCGAACGAGTGATCTCGGGATTGTCGCCCTCTTTCAAGAACGGGTTGTCTTCTATCTCATAAAATCTTAGCGGAACCTGTTGGTGAGGTCCGAGGGTCAGTTTGGGAGCCAGGCGTTTCTTAGATTGAATTGAAGGATCAACGAGTGAAAACCTGCGGCGAGAGCGGGCACCGGCGGGTCCGTTCGACGCATCGGCTGAAGGGTCCACTATAGACACCCGACGTCTGCTGCGGGTGAACGCAGCGGGTAAATCTTGGTTTGTACTAGCCCCTCGTAAGTTGGAACTTGTGTTCATGTAGAAAGTCCGTGCAAGGCTCAACTTCTGGGGAGCACCGCTTGTACCTATGGGTTGGTTTTCGTTCAGAACGATACCCGGTAATTTACAAACCTCCCCTGAAGATATCATTTGACTCAGAGAACTCTTCTGAGGTCCAGCTTTGCTTACCGGCACCTCTGGCAGATTGATAGTTTGCGTGGGCATCCCATACTTTGTTTTGGACAACTTAGGCTCCCCTTGGCTCTCCATGGGTTTAATGGACGGCAAATGCTGTCCACTCTCGCTTTTTTGCCCAGCAGGTGAATATGCTTCTCCAACTTTTTCCAGAATTGCTACATTTTGTTCTGATAGAGCCTTGTGTTTGGCATAGGAATCACTCAGCGCATTCAGAGACCTGTTCAGATGCATCTCGTGCGAGATTTTATTGGCGAACTCCCTCTTTTGATCTCGTCGGATGGATCCCACAACCTCAGCTTTGTGGTTCTTATGAATCTTAATCTTCGGGAGTGTTCTGCGCCTCCTGGCGGCCCTGGCTTGCCTCTCCCAGTCCTTCTCCTCTTCCTCGCACCAGGCAATCTCCCTCTTCTTTCGTCTCTCCCTGTTGTGCTCCTGGAGTGTTTGGAAGTACTCGAGACGCCTCTCAATATCCCTTTTCGCCCGGTTGAAGTCGGCGTTGATCAGCTGGCGAGCATAGTCGATGTGTCTCAACTCTCGCTCGCCTTCTAGTTGGTAGGCCGCGTTGCGCTCCCGGCCGGCGTACGTCAAGCGAGCGTCCATTTTCAGCATCAGCGTCCGTGCATCGTCTCGCTTTAGGTCCAACCGGTAAGAACCGTTCGCCATGGCTACTATACAAATGAAAAGCAGTGCGAATCTGCATGAAGCTGTCACATTCTGTGAGCCACCTGCAGTTACTCTTTGCTCCTGAATTTTAGGTTGACTTGTAAAAGTTATCTTATTTGCGCATCTGTGTGGAAAGACAATAATCACGAAATGAAAATCTACCCAGAACAACTCATCTCTAGACTAAAAAACCGCATTAACACTCTGAACGCGAACAATCTTCCGTCTTCTGATCTCGTGCACTGAGAAGTGCATAAGCATTTTTGTGAGAAGCAACCTAGATGTATAATTCCTTTATCTGCTAGTATTGTAACATGCTTCAGCTCAAAGCTTCGTGATTGACTGTCCTATATGCCTGCAGGCTTCACTGCTCAGTTTTAATTGATACTCTGAAACTTTTGCAAAGTTGCTTTGCTGTAAAAGGAGATTCATGCTCTGATAACCTTGGCCATACGAGAGTCATTTTTCAAATACAGTAATGTAGAGGCGACGTAGTCTTGAGTTATTCTCGTGAAACTATTGTCGTCATGCTGGAAAATCTAGTACGGCGGGCGGCACGCTAGGAGTTGCACTGGTTAAGTATTAGCCTGTATCAAAGCATAACTTATTTCATCATGATCTCAACGCAAGGGACGTCTCCCCGAGACTAAAAGCAATCCCTACCTCCAAAAGTTGTCCTTTCAAATTGTTGCTGATACAATTGCCGGTATGAAAGTTTTTCCCCTCTCCACAAAGTTCTGAACTCACTGCCACCGGCACTCATTGCTCACTGATATGGCTGAGTGAAAGATCAATCCTAAAGTGCTCGTGTTTGTGCGTTGGCAAGGCCCGTACGTACTACATGTATGTGGTATATATGTTGAACAACCCAGTAACGCAAGCCGGCTTGAACAACTATAAAGCCAAATCGATTTAAGGGATTTACGAGTTCTCCCCCGTGGTGGATCCGGTACAAAGGCAAAAAGCCACCCGGTTCAAAGTCTTCTATGAAAACCAGATCTCAAGATCGATAATTAGTGCCACATACAGCCAGGAATAGACCATACTAAATCGCCGAATCGAACTACAGACTTGAACTCACGTATGCTGACTTTATTTGCTAGAAATGGTAAACACAAAAATTGTTTGAACGCAAATTTTAATTGCTCCAACGCCTGTGAAAGTTAGAACTCTGAAGTGCCAAAAATGAATAAAAGGTTTGTCTATTAATGCGTATAATCGAAAACACTGCGAAAGTCAGACATTTTTGCAGACTTTTGTTAATAAATTCTATTCAGAATTTAAAGCTACATAATGAAAAACAAAACAAAAAATTAATAATAATCAAAACATGGATTTCTAAATGAAACTGCTTGAAAATACCACGAAATTCATTTTTCAAACCATTAGATCAAAACCAACGATTTAGGGATGATTCTGTGTACAATATATGTAAAACATAAAAATATAAATGCATTTACAAATACCGCAGTGAATGTTTGGGAAAATCGGTGTAAACAATAACAATAGCTGAATACACGGGCCTATATATATAATGGAAGTAGTTCTGAAACGTGTTCAAAATAAATGGAAAACTGGCATGGTGTATGCTTAACCACTCTCAATGACAATCACGAATCAATCACACAATATTCAAACATCGGCAAAGCTGCTGATTAAACCAATAAATTCCCAGTAAGTGGTAGACACGTTATTTGGCACGCGATGATACTGCAAGTGGCGGGGTTTAGACTTCGTTGAACCCCCTAGTAAAAGGTCTGTATGTAACTGTTTTTCTGTAGAAATAAAACTCATTTTGAAATTAAATAGTTCATTTGTTAATACCAAATCGAAATTTTAACTTTTCGACTGATACTGGGTACCATATATGAAAACATACAAAAAAATATCTAAAATACCAAATGTGAGGAAAACCTGTGTCCAAAATATTTTGAAGAAAACGTCTGGAAAGCGATGTACACGTTGTCGTTCTTGAACAACTAAACTTGTTCATAAAACTCTGATAGACTGGGTAAATAGATTTGAATTTTGCTGAACTTTATGTCTTTTTTTTTTGTTTTTTTCAAAAACTATATGCAAACCTGGAGCATATCTCCCCATTATATATTATATTTTATATATCGAATCGAACCTTTTATTTTTCCTTTTCTTTACGCTGAATTTCTCCTTTCGCATTTTTGCCGGTTTACCCGTTGAAGATGTACGCTGTTCAAATGCAGCCTCTATGCAACCGGACTTAATGATGTTGTAAGTAGTCAAAGCTTCATGATTTTCTGATATACATGTAATTTCGTGGTTTTTTATATAATTGCACATTTATCTGATATATTACTCAAATGATAGTGGTGTATTTCTCAAGTATCTGTGCCTATTAGCGTGTTTAAAAATATGAATATCTAATTTGTTCGTGACGTAATGTGCGTGATGTCATACACGCCCAGCAGTGGGCGTAACCGATCAAAACAGTGGGAACAGCTGAAGGGGTCAAGCGATTGCTTGAAAACAGTATGAAGAAGTGAAGAACGACGTTGAAGGCCAAGAATGAAAGCCTGGGCAGGTTTAATACCAGAAAAAGGATTTCACAAGGCGACTCTCTTCAACGCTGTTGTTTGCTCTAACACTGATGCCACTGTCTACGGTTCTACGAAAGGTGGTGCCGGATATGAGATGAAGAAGGATGACTGCAGAATTAATCACCTCCTCTACATGGACAACATGAAGTTGTTTGCCAAGAGTAAGGAGATAAATTCTCTTGTGCAGACGGTTTGGGTGTACAGTTAGGACAGAGGAATACGGCTCGGTCCAGACTAAAGGGAGAAGACTGTGGATTCCGACAACATTCTTTTGCCTGCTGATGGGTCACTGCTATGCAAAAGTCATTAAAGGAACATGTTGCCTTTCAGATGACACCAAGATTGCTAGATCTAGATAATTTTAAGACGTTTTATGCTCAAATAGATGAAGCATTAAGGGAGATTGAAGGATACAAGCATACATCTAGATGTCTTGGAGGCAGACCAAATGATGCACGACGGAGAGGATAGGCTAAGCAAAGGGTACATCCAGAGGGCAAAGAAATATCTGAAGTCGAAGCTGAAGGGGGCAACATGGTGAAGGGCGGTGAATACCTGGGCTGTGTCACTGATCAGGTACAATGTTGGAATGGTTGACTTGACCAAGGCGGATGTAGAATCTGTTGGCCGGAAGACGAGGAAAACGATGACGATGCACGGTTTGCTGCATCGAGGGCTATCATGTGTCAGCAGGCGATGATCGAAGGAGGACTGGGACTGATGATTATGATGGACTGTGTAAACGTTGAGAAGAAGAGTCTTTATGAGTATGTTTCTCGGGCGTAGGATGGATTGCTGAGGATGGCTAAAAAATACACCAAAGGAAAGGAAGTGGTCGCCGGTGCATATAAGAGGGAAAGCCGGGAAAGAGGAAAGGTTTATAAAGGATGCCACTCTATAGGAGAGTTCTGAGGGACGAGGAGGCGGCAGCGTACAAAACCTGAGGATGGATGAAGACAGGCGAGTTGGAGAAGGAAACGGAGGATTTGATAACCGTGTGGTACAGGATCAGGCACATGATCACTGAGGACGAATGCATGAAGGCCAGGATAGAGGGACTCGACGTATCTCCAATGTGAAGGTTGCTGGTAGATAGAGGAGACTGTTTCATTTAGTTTGTGTATGCAGCAAGATGGCCCAGCTTGATTGAATACATATAAAGGCATGACAAGTTAGCCAGTGACATACAACCCAGTGTGTCCCAAACCCACTGGGATGTGTGTCGGAAGCGTGGGATCGAGGTCAAGGACAAGTGGTGGGAGCATATTCTGGAGAAGGTTCTGTAAAAGGAGGAGGTAAAAGTTATCTGGGACTTCAACACTCAGACTGACCGTGTTGTAGAACACAGACGGCCGGTAATTGTTGTTCTAGATGAGGGAGCAGTGATACGAGGGTTATAAATGTGGAGAAGGAAAGGGTCCTGTGACGAACTCGGGTCGTCCTCTGTTTAAAGCACCGCTATTTTATAATTAGGTGCGTAGGACCTATTGCGCGTTTCCACCACAGGTCACTTCTCTTTCTCGCTGGTAGAAAAATGATTGCGCGTGCGCGCTGTTGCGACTCAGCAGTGCAGAAATTACATTCCAAAATAATTTGCAGCCAATCAGAGATTAGAAAAGGTTTGCACAGGGGGTAAGAGTTTAGAACAACTAATTGCTCAGTTATCAATTATGAGGTCTGACATTAATAGGCCTGCAGTATTAGTTGAGTGGAAAGTTGTAATAAAGAATCAGAACTGCGTTGGACTTAAAACGAAAAGGGCGTGTCCGGTGTGAATCTCTCTGTGGTGTTTTAACAGTATACACTAATTAGCGCAACTAGGGCAGGGAGGTCAGAGGCACGCACCGTCACCACACTACCTAGTTAAGGACCGGTGCGTGATTCCAGAAGGGCAGCTTCAGTTTGTGCCGACAGAACCAACCGCTCGGTTGAATCAAAGGTCCTTTACAAACTGGCGGCAATGGCTGGATTTCAGTTCCCAGATATTTAAGAAATAAAGTGCGCTCATTTTGTTATCAAGTTTTTGGGTTCAAGTTACAACAGTGTTCAGCGATGGTATTCGCTGCTGAATAGACTTCAATACGAGCGATTCACAATAGTGCGCCACCAAGAGTTTGTACCCCTTTGGCCAATCAGAGCGTGCAAAATTCGTCGACCCTTTCCAACAGCGCAAAAGGTCGACAAATTCTGCGCATTGTGATTGGCCAACGCGTTGTAAACTCTTGGTGGCGCACTATTGTGAAACGGCTGTGTTGCTTTTGTAGTGTTTCTCAGAATACTTTCAAACCAAGGTTAGAGCCACTAAATTCTGCCATTCCGCTAGTGGAAAAATGGTTTCGACCATAAGTAGTAAATGGTAAGGATTTTTCACCGGTACTCCACCAATGTTCGCCGGTGGAAAAGTAGTTACCACCAGGCAATAGTAACAAGGTTTTCCACCGAATTTCAACCAGGGTTTGTTGGTTGAAAAGCGGTTTCCACCCTAAGGATATATTGATGAAGTTGAGTTTCCACCAAGTCTCTGCTGGGGCTTGTACGTGAAAAGTGATTTCCACCGCCTGTGAAAGTTAGGCTCATTGTGTGGTATCTGACAAGATAAGTGTGCACATAAACGTAAATAATGATATAATAATAGCAACACACTGACCATCACATCCAGGTTAACAAAAATGTTAATATGCATAGGAAATACTAATTAAATCCACAAGGGACTATTAAGAAGTCCGTAAAAAGCAGTAAATTAACGACCTGCCTGGTGTCGTCTCATCGGAGATAGCCATGTATGCCGATGACTCAACACTGTACATGCATACCCTGGTCCCTTTGTCTAGTTCTTCGAATCTGATCAAGCCAGTGGCAGTATTGCTCTCCGTCAATCAAAATTTAGCGAACATTGGCTACCATGTTTAATCAAAAGAAGACGCATCTGTTGTCTGTATCCAGTTCTAGACCCCCGTATCTTCCTGCTTTGTGAACAAGTTCATCACCTTTGCGGCCGAAGTTCCTGACATCCAGCTACCTGGACTTGATATCATCTGTTACCGGGACAAGTATATACATACGTGTGTTGCAAAAAGAGCCTTGCTGCGCCTAGGTTGTGTGCACCGTGTACAACATCTCCTCCCTCCTGCCGCCATTCTCTACTTGTATAAGTCCACAATACGCCCTGTCATGCAGTTCTGTAGTCATGTCTTGTCTGGGGCTCCATCAGTCTGCCATCTGTCCTTTTAGGATCCAGCGGTCGGTGGGACACAATCTGGCTGCATCCTTGGAACCTCTACCACACCGTCGTTCCGTAGCATTTCTGTCCCTATCCTACAGGTTCTATCACGGAAAGTGCTTCAATGGCGTTTCATCTTTAATTCCACCAAATCGTTTGATAGCACTACACGTTTTTCTACTCGTCTGCATCCATAAACGGTTAACATCCCTACTGCGAGGTACTCATCCAGTTTCTTACCACGCACTGCCTCGCTTGGAACTCTTTACCTGCATCCTGTTTGCCTGCTACCTGTCTCACTTCAAACAAAACATCAACAGTTATCCTTTCTAAATGTCTTATGCTCTCGGTTCTCTTCTTGAACTTTGCTATTTAGCCCTCGCCTTGAATGACCTCTTAGGCCTTGTGATGGGCGACTTTCATATTACCGTGTCACTGTCAGGCATATCGTTTACAGTGGCTGAAAAAACAAACAAGCAAACAAACATACAAACAAAAAAACAAAGACTGAGTGCAAGTCGGTAAAACTACCACTCCCCCCTCGCAGAATTCCCCCGGCTAATCGTCCAGAGTGATCATTGGTGGCGCCCTACACGGTGGCAGAAGACGTGGGTTATTTATGTCTGTGAGAAAAACGCGCTGGTACGCAACACTTCAACACTGTACTGCTGCGCGGTATGCGCGACATGTTTTACGCCCCAACTATAACACCAGTCCCAACTAGAGTGCTATAGTTGGGTCGGCCCAACTACAGCTCGGAGGTCCAGTGTGCATGTGCCACAGTCATATTCATTGTTTGCAGAGTCATGTCATAGATGAAGTGCCATATTTTTGTTAAAATTGTGTGAAGTGTAAGATGCATAAACTTGGATAAGGTTGAGAAAATTTCTATAGAAAGTGGTTAACAATAGTCGGGCCAGCCCAACTACAGCACTACAGTTGGGACTGGCCCAACTATAGTTGGGACAGACGCTATAGTTGGGGAGTGACATCTACAAAACGGACATTATCGAATTGCCAACGTATAGATTGCCAACATGGACTCATGTGGTCGGACCTGTTATTTCGTTCTAGTTTTAATACTTTTCGCGAACTGGTGCTCATGCGATAGCCCTGAACAAGGCATTTTCAGTTTCCCTTTGGATGAGGTATTTGTTAAATAAAGTGATTCCCATAAATGTTTCTTAATGTCTTTATCTTGAGCATAAAATTTGTGAAATCAAAGCTTGTCCAGTTTCCGGACAGTAGACTGCAGTTGGCAGGGTTCCCCTCAGATCCATGGTGACGAGTGCAAGGTGGTTAGAAAAAGTGAGGGAATGAGAGTGTACACGGGCATTGTGGATTTCGGGGACCCCTGTTTTTAGTTAGTTGTAATTTCACAAATAAACATTGGCCAGACTCAGCCTAGGCCTACATGTACATATATGTATGTCGTGTACCATGTCTCCATCATCCATGTTCTGTCATGACTGTCACGACTCTATTTGGCATGCTTGGGTTAGATTTGGACATATTGGAAGAGTAAATTGGGAGAAAAAGGCAGTTTTATTACCTTATATCTGGCACTTCCATCAGTGTCAATGCATGGTCAACTTGACCCAAATGGCAGATTTTTTGAGCTTTGGAGGCATGTTGGCTATTCTCTTCAATACTGTTTTTCCCTAATCTGCTTTTTTGACCAATCACAAATGACCTTTATAATGAAATATTCCAGTAACCAATTAGAGACATTCTTCCCCGCAGCTTTGACATTATCTCCATGTGGATGCATGCGTACATGGTCTTGATTTGGCATGTATGGGGGCTATGTTCGAAAGCCCATAGTGTGACGAACCCATAAAAAGTTATACACCTCCAACTTGCACGGAGTAGTGACTTGGAGTTCTGCAAGTAATGTGCAAAGATGTGTGCCATTGTGTTGCCCTTACCACAGATATGTTGGATTTTTCCTCCAATGATAACCATCCAGTCTGGTAGAAAATAATGGGTGCTATTGTGTGTATCGATGCTTTTGATGAAATGTGAACTTATCAATGACAAGCCACCATAGGAAAGTAAGTGGCTCTGCCTTGTACATGTAGTTACATTGTATTGACTACATGATGTGAATTTCAGTTTTAAATCTGTATTCTATTCTTTGAAAATGGATTAGTTTTGTTTAATTTGTAGTTTTGAAGGAGTTATAACACATCTGTCAATTTGGTCAAACGGCACCATTTTCAGTCATTTGACTTCAGAATTTAGACTAAAAACTGACAGCATCACGTTGTGGTGCATACGTTGGTTGCTGCACGTGTTGGTCATTATGTGAGTTAGTCGGCGTATGACTTGGTATACAAGTTGACCAAACCAAGTACGAGTTTGTCAGTGTATGAGTTGGCAAACACATCAGTTGACTGTACATGTATATATGTGTCTACATACCTGTAGTTAGGGAAAAGAATTCCATACGCGGACGGCAGTAATTTTTCCTTAGTACATGTGTTAGCCATATGAAAGCAATAACATTACATAAAAATCAAATTTAGCAGAGAAAATGAGGTATTCACGAAGGAAGCACTTGTACCAAAAGGAACATCTCCAGTGAAATGTTTTAGCCTGGGGGACCGGACCAGACTGAATTTCTCAGCATTTCGAGCAGACCAAAGATATTGAATGTTTTTTCAGTGATCTCTGCAATGGCACGGAACCAGACTAAAGAAACAATAAGTCTGTTTGAGATGCTTACGAAAAAAGCGAAAAGGTGGGATATATTTTCTACAAACAGCTTTCCCACATACTTGAAAATTACTTATTATTCTAAACCTAGCTGTTGAGTATTGCTGGACATAATGAACATGTTGGCAAAATTTCAGCAACCTCTGTCAGGTAAAAATTGGGGGAAACATTGTTGCCAAAATTTTTCAGTTGCAGGATGAAGTGAAATCCTGGATGTTAGTCGTTATGTACACAAATACAAGAATCCAACCTAGGCTAGCCTATGCATAATGTTGTTCTAGGCATTGGGACTGAAACGGGCTATTGCAGATAAACTGGAAATGTCTAGCATAAGGCTTTGCCAGTAGTGCTGAATGTACACTGCACCTCAGTTACTTTACAGCGGTTTTCCTTTTGGGCCGAGATTTTTCCTTTCCGTCAAGGTACCAAGTTAACAACAGTTCAACTGAGCAAACATTCTTGAATCAAAGATGGTAAATATAATTCAGATGAACCAGATAAAAAGAGACAATTTCTGGGCTACTTGGGTATAATGCACAACCATTCAGTGTGTTGGACCTACTGAACTGTGCGTTGAAAACTTAGAGTTTAGGTTGAAGACCATATAAACAACAACAGAAGCTCCAACCAAGGATGATTCAACTGGTTACCAGTGGCACTGTGCACACACTTGGCCCTTTGTACTTATTTTCTGGGCTTGCTCCACAACGAGTGTTTTGCAATGCAGTGTGAGTGCTCTGTACCGTTTACTTTGTTGAAGGGATTCTGGTTTTCCAGCATGCACAATATGATTGCTGCACACCCAGCTATAGTCAATCTTATTCCCAACCTGCAGACTTGAGCATCAGACCTAAGAAAAACCCTGTGTTAGCAAAGGATTGCAGAAGTTCAACACCTGTTTAGTGTTTGGTTTATTCTGTTCTGATATTGCAGCAGGACTTGTTGACAGTTCTGAGGTTTGAATAAAGAGATTCAAGTTTTCCCATTGATGTTCTCTTATGTAAATCGTGTTTGTGTGTGTTCTTGATACAGGCGAATCGTTTTGGTGGTGTTTCCAAAAACCTCCAGGTGGAAACTGAAATAGGAATCACAGGTATGTGTACCGAAAAGTTCTTTAAATATTTAGACAAGCCTCTGGTTTAGTTGGAGTCATAAAGAAACTTATCTCATAAAGAGATGTGTGAAGGTCCTGGGTTAGACCTCGTGTTGTTTTCACTTAGTCACGCACAAATTCAGCCCGATATTTCTTTTGAATCAACCGCATAGCTCAAGAATGCCCTTCGCACTGCCTCAACATGATGACAGGAATTGCCAGAGGTTTTTGAAGGATTGAGGCAGTAGGCACACTTTCAAAAAACATTTTCAAAAAGATTTGGGAGGATTTTTTCTTGCCACAAATTGGAAGATTTTGGAGGATTGAGGATGGTTCCTAGTGAAAAGGCCTAAGGGGTTAGGATTAAACAATAATGAGCAGCAGTGAATGGAATCCTTGGGATCAAATTGGAAATCATCATCATTGCAGAGCTGTACAGTGACTCAGTTCCAGCCCCCTGTAGCTGTTTCATTTAAACACATTTTCTACATAATACACATGACTTCATTAGGTGGGTCCAGTCGCCTGATGTGAAGTAAATTGTGAAGTCACTGAAAGAACAGCCTTTGAGATCCATATGAAATCATTATGTGGTTCTTGCACACACTGAAAGATCGTGACTAATGTTTATTGCATGTTTAATGATTAAGAGTGAATCGGTGTAGTAAATGAACGGCAGTGTAGAGATTACAAAATTAAGACCAAAATTTCACTAAAGGAAAAATCCAGGAACCGTGGTTTTTGAGAATCAATAAACTGCTTCATTAAGAAGAGCCTTATTTTGTAAATGGGGCTGCATATTGGGAAAGTTTTCAAAGAGGTATGGGTCTGTCTAGTTATCCCCATATGCAGTCTAGAGTATTGCATATGGGCATTATGACCTTTCCCTACTGATTTAGCAATTTTTGTCCTAATTCAACCTTTAATATCTGGAGTTGGCAACGGCGAATTTGAAATCCCATTGGTACAAACATGTTCTAGAACTTCTAGTTTATGTCTGTCGTGTCTGTAGTTGGGGGCTTTTGCACAGCAAATACAGTTTTTGCAATTGAAATTTTTTGTTCGTGTTTTTGTTCCATATGTTGCAACATTTAAGAAAAGCACCCTGTAACCTAGAAACACCCATACAATCCATTGCAGGCTACCAGAACAATCCTTGTGATTGGTCAGTTTGCATGAGATTTGTTATGTAATAGGTTGTCCGAATATGTTGATACCCCAGACCAATATGTTTATTGATGAAGGGCCAAGTATATGGATGTAGTTCAGCTGGCCTCAATGTTGGGCTAGGAAGCAGGACATGTATCAGATTGGAGACCACAGACGAATTTTCATCCACTCAAAAACCCCCACTATTTTAACACATATTTTCATCAATTAAAGCATCAAATTATTCTTAGTCTTTCCATTAGTTTAAACACCATACTGTGAAAAATCTCCTAAATTCCTCAGAAACATGGGTCAAAGAATGTAAACATACCCTACTTTGACTGTGCAAAGTGTAGTGATGTCAGGTCATTAATATTCATGAGCACTGTCTACCAAGGGAGAAGACGGTCTGTCCCAAAACTTCGGAAATAATTATTTATAAATACCTACCTATCAAAACTCAATGTTAAGACTTCAGTTAGGAGAGATAAAATAAACAAAAAGTTCTCTTCCTAAAGGTACCAATTCTACAGTCTAAATATGAAAATAATCTAATAAAAATTTTGGACCAATAGTGAGTAAAGTTAGAGAAATGGAGGCAGCCATTTTGAATCTTCCTAACTCTATTTTTTGTACAGAACAACACATGGCAGTGCACAAACCAGCTGAACATGATGGTTGAAATAAAACCCACACATGTTTTAATATGGTTACACTCCAAAAAGTCACCAAATTTACCAGACTGCTGGTAAAACATAAAGTAAGTCTAAGGAAGATAATTAGGAAGAATTTTGAAGATAATTTTGTTAAGAAAAGAAATAATTTGCATCACAAGAAAATGACTGCGGGCATTTTCGCTACATGCTCAGTGAATCGGTTTTTAAAAAGTAGGAAAAGAAAAATTCCTTTTGACCCACGTTGTTTTTGGATGCAGTGTAATAGGAAGCAGAACTGTTTTTCCCCCAACCATACATGCCATTCGTGGATTGGTTAAATGTGCTGATTTATTTGTTCTTATTTGCCCCCCTTCTGTAGTGGAATGTGCAGATGCGAAAGAAGGAAAGTTTACTGTTGAATGGATGGTACGCTTCACAGAATGCAACGAACTGCGCCCAGAGTTGATTGTGAGTCTGGTTAGAGGATTGGATTTCAAGGAAGCTGGGTTTAATCAAAGCATGCTGTTTTGTCCCCTCTGTCACTTTGGTACATGTAGCACACCGTGCAGATACTGTGAATTGGTCATACACATAGCTATGACTTATATTTGCTACAAGGAGGGACTGGTTTCAACCAGATAAGGTACATGTACATGTACCTCATGGTATTGTCCCTTGGGAAGGTCATAACCTTGTGTGTTAATAGCTAAAGTTAACATGTCCATTCAAAAGAAGACTGATAAGATGCAAAAACTGCATCTTTGCTATGATGACCAATGAGTATGGTGATAATGCTCTAGGACTGCATTTTTTTCTCTTGTTTGTCGTATCAATACAACAGGTTAATTCATCAACATTCATTGAGAGCCTCTTCAGCGGTAATGGAGCTGAACAGTCAATGTTAACTGAGGAGGACTACATCGCGGTGGAAAAAAGCAACATGTCAAATGAAATGACCTGTCAAGGTCATACAAACCTAAAGGTATGTTACAGTTGACTGTAACATGATCATGATGGTGGCAGACACTTAACGTTTTAGCCCTGACATTCCCAATTTCTTCAGAATCCTACCTGGAGGTTTGAGGGATTTACTTGGGGCTTCATTCCTCTTGAATGACAAATGGATACAATACATGTGCCATCGTTTGCTGCACAGGGGATGACTTCTAGCTCTTGGAGGAAACCCACCCTGAAATTAGGGACTAGGTTCTGTAAAAGTTATCCCAAAACCCCACGATAGTTGTATTGATGGCCCATTGTCATCTGTGAATCGATTCCTGACTCCTTTTTTGAAAATGTCAATGGATGTTATTTGCCTTTCTTGTACCGGTTTGTGGCAGTCATTAAAAAAGCATCACAATGCAGGAATTGATACACAGAAAAAGGGAATTAAAGCAACAATGAAGCAAAGAAAAATTAGTCTGTTCTGCATCTGTACACTCACCTCCCATCAAGATTGAAGATGGCATTAAAGGACATTGTACATATTGTTGCTCTTATTACACCTGGATGAATTACAGGGGAAGAGAAAAAAGGAATACGGCTGTTTCACAATAGTGCGCCACCAAGAGTTTGCAATGCGTTGCCAATCACAGTACGCAAAATTTGTTGACCCAATGCGCGTTTAGAAAGGGTCGACAAATTTCACGCGTTATGATTGGCCAACGTGTTGCAAACTCTTGGTGACGCACTATTGTGAATCGCCCGTATTGGTTGGGATTGTATCTTATTACTTTCTTATAATACTTGGGTGTAACAATCCTTCACTTTGGATTCTGTACGCTCTGACAGGATGAAACGGACTCAAATAGCTTTACTTGTGTCACCCAATATGACCAAATGCCACACTGCAACTTTATTGGTGTGCGACCACCTACTGAAGCAGCACCAACCACTGCACCAGCGAAGGGACAACCGAAGCAATCTGCCCCAACTAAGGTGATTACTTGTCTTCTGTTCATTTGGTCTGCTTGATTCAGTGTTACAATGACGAGGGATATTGGTCTTGATTTCAGCCCTTGGATCCTTCACTCATTGTGGGTTTCACACCCCTAGTGTAGACCTACCCTTAGGGACAGACCTTTGGTAGCTTGGACACAAATATATACACACCTGTTGCTGGAAATTTGTTTTGCCTGTACAGTGCTTACATTTATTTATAAAGGAACACAAAATTAGGATAATTTCTCATATCGGCAATTTTAAATACAATATAAATGAAGTGAAGAGCCTCAATACCTGCCACTGTGCTGCATCTAGAGTCTCGCCTTGCAGTCGGCTTCTGTGGCCTGTGGCTGACTCTGTAAGTTTCTGTGTCCCGCCACCGCCGTCCAACCCTTCCGTCAACCCTGAAAATAGCAAGCGCAATTCCGCTTTCTAGTTTTTCTGGCTAAGTTATATCTAACACAAAATATTAATTAATTAGAGGCTTCAAGCATTACCAAGTGTGTCAAACTTGAATGATAACAATAGATTGTTTCAGTCCTGTAATATCCTCGGCTCAAATTACTCGGACCTATTGGAACTTTATTGAAAATACATGTATCTTGGCAGTATTTCATTTTTACTGGCTCAAGATCTGGTTCACAAGGAACAAATGTATAAAATAAAATATCCATTATATATTTACATAGCAAACTTATAGGAACTGGGCATTTCCTGGCTTTCCATTTCTCGGAACAGTCTACACGTACATGTAGTTTAATACACTTTCACAATCAGAGGTGACTCAAGACTGTAAGTCATCGAGGCTGGCCGCTGCCCTCTCCTCGGAATCCAGCAATCAACTCATCACACTAAACTCATATCTTTCACTTTTAAATCAGAAGGAAAAATTCCTGCACTGCCACGCTTAATTCCAGTGAACCCAGAATGTTTTGTGTACATGTATATTTATACCTGGCAAATCAAATTTCAGTGTTGACGTTCCCTGTTATGCAGGGGTCAGTGTGTTTCGTGTTTGCAGTCAACGGCATTCATATCTGTTGGACTCATTACACACTGACATGCTAAGCGTATAAGCTAAAATTCTGACCCAAACTGTAGTATTTCACAAAGACACCTCAGAGCCTGATGTTGCAAGTGTAAGGCTTATCCTGCATGTTGGATACTTTTATAACCGTTCATTTTTGTGCACTGTTGTAGTCGAGACCATCTTAAGACCAGACACAAGACCATGCACAAGACCAGACACAAGACCATGCACAAGACCAGACACAAGACCATGCACAAGACCAGACGCAAGACCATGCACAAGACCAGACACAAGACCATGCACAAGTCCAGACGCAAGACTGTGCACAAGACCATGCGCAAGACCAGACACAAGACCATGCACAAGACCAGACACAAGACCAGACACAAGACCAGACACAAGACCATCACAAGACCATGCACAAGACCAGACACAAGACCATGCACAAGACCAGACACAAGACCATGCAGAAGACCATTCACAAGTAGCAGGGCGAACAATGGAAATGCTTTTGTTGCAGTTCATTTGAATAGCTTGTCGCTTGAATTCAGACTGGAGGTCTGGTGAAGGCTTATGAAGGTCTTAAGTGGTCTCGACTACAACACTGTTTCTGTGTGGCTAAGTTATATTTGAATAGAGATGTTTTAATTTTGTCATGCTTGACAGTATCACCATATTTTGTTTGATTGGAATAGGACAAGGATGCCAAACCAGCAATTAAGCGTAGAGCAGCACCTCCCAGTACAGCTTCAGTGGCATCCAAACCCGTAAATGCTACAGAAACGCCAAAGTCCAATACAACCACGGTAACAATCCAAACCCTTATTGTCAGAATAGTCCTGCGTACTGATGATATCACTCAGTGTTTAGCTGAGCGCTTTCTTATGGAGCCAGCAGAGGCCCACAGTCCACTGAGCACCATAGGAGAGCACATAAAGTGTGGCATCATTGCCGGTTGTCTGTGCCCCTCCATTAATCTACCTGTCTACCTGGCAGATGTATCAAAATTTACCTTTTTACAGAAAGAGGAAAAATGAAAGAGCCTTACCTGTTACAGGTCTGAAATCCTCAGACGTCAGTTTTGATTGAATTGTACACATTTGTATGAGTGACAGAAGTGACAGTAAATTGGGCATTTGCAATGACAAAAGAGTGCTTGAAAAATGTGCGTTTTTAGAATGATGTCCACGTATTTAATGTTTTTCCGGTTTTTTTAATTTGATTTTTCCCAGTTTCTTTTTCCAAGTAGTTTTTCTCAGTAGATAATTCCAATCAACCACTTGTAGATGGTTAATTAATAATTTGGACAAGACAAATGCTGACTTGTGAGCTTGACTTGTGCAAGATTTGTCCAACACTTCTTAGCATAATATTATCTTTTCTATACTCTGAGGCAGTGCCATAGGTTGATAATTGCTGCAGAGTCTGGTTGTGCCACACAGATGAGTCAGGGTACCACACACTATCAGCCTGTATGGAATAGTTTCACACTTTCTATGTGTACAAAACTGAATGGCAATTACTGAAGTGTGAGGGCATGTGTACAGGTCCCCACCGGCTAGGAATCAGAAATTTTCAGAATGTCTTGTCAAACTGCCAACAGAACTGTCATGGATGGATATCAGGAGTTTAGATGAAGTGATTAATAATAGGCTATTGATTAACCAGTTCATGCTAAATGACATGTAGAGAGGAACGTTTGATCATGTAAGCTCTGTATGAAGAACTGGGTGATGTCTGTACTCATCAACACTCTTGAGAGATTCCAGTTGAGTTAGCGCTCATACAGAGGCTCAAACTAGCCAGTGGAGGGGGGTGTGTGAAGCCCATAGGTGGCCTTGGGTAGTGGCTGGGTGTTGTAGCAAATATCACTCTGTAACATCATATCACTCTGTAACATTGTCTTCAAGTTTAAAAACTATGATGATACAGTTGAAAATGATGCCAAAATCTTGAACAAATAACCACCGGGGTTAGCATTTGTAAAGGGCACTTTAAAAGTTTTTTCCCCCCCAAAAATAAATAACTTACCTGTGACTTGGTTAATATTACCACGGGCAGATGGTCAGACAAGACAATGACCTACAACTGTTTTACATGTCTATGTTTAAGACAAGTCTACTGAAAGACAGAGTGACAAAGATTAATGAACGTCCTGGTCGGTATTGGGTCCTTGTCCACGTCAAGTCCATGGAATCTGCCAAAAAGGACACGAAAGTTACTGGTGAGTGCTCTTGCTCTTTCCCTGTCTTGTTCAGATAGACTTGGAGAGGCTGGCCGTGTGGGGAATATCAGAATAACTCAAACGATCTCCCAGGAAAAGTTGTTTCAATACCCGATCTTCTATTTGTGAACCATAGTTTGTATTGGACAGTGTTGATTAATGTTTGATCTTATTTCACTTGGCCATTGTTTTGCTAGTAGAGTTGAATGCAACTTGCATGTTCTGTGTGCTGAAAATTTGGAACATTGAGCTCTGTGCATAGGCTGTGCAGTGTTTCATTCCACAAAATGTGGCAAAGTTGACATAACAATTGTTGGACTTTGGAAGAATTTGGGATGAGTAGGGTGAAAGAATAGAGATTTTCTTAGCTGTGAACCAATATTTCAGCTTCTTCAATGAGGAAGTAGTGCTGCTTGACATTCTTTTTCTCTAGAATGTGCTGTGCAAAATTACTTTGACAGTTTTATTGCGAGAAAGTTTTAACAGATACATGTAGGTGAACAGTAGATGAAAGATGTATTTTTTTCTGTTGTTAATTTATTAAGAAATTTATTCTGATGATTACTGATTAAACACAGAAAAACTCCAATTTCTCAAACCTCCTCTATAAAAAAGGGTGCATTGTCCAGATCAAATGAGTGTTGTCCCCCTTATTGCGAAAATAATTATCTGAGTCGGTCTTATTCCACATTTCGAATAATTATGCATGACCAAATAAATGACCTCCAGTGATGTATTCCCAGGGCTATGGATTGAGCATTTCTGCCCACTGAAGCTGCCTGACTTGACACTGGGAAGTGTGTTCTTTCAAAGCCTGAAATTTATGTCAGGCTGATGTTATAGAGTGGCAACATGACATAAAAATGATAAAGTGCAAGCTGCACAGATACGGCACTTGGTTGCTACAAACGCTTCTCTGGTATTCACAAAATGAACTTATTATTTCACCTTTTGGGGTCGCTGAACAGATATTTAAAGAAGTTCGCATTGCTGTTACAAGTACTGGTTTTTGAACAGCTGCCCACTGCATGGCTGTTTGTCAATTTAGTAGTACTTTTCTTTGTTTATAATTTGATTGGCCCAAGAACTTTGACACTGTGCTGTAATGCTCGGTAAAATAATGGCTACAGATAAAACCAAAATTTATATGATACTATCTTCTCCAAAACTCACTGTTTCAGTTTGATTTGTGATTGAATTCCTCTTGAATTTCTCATCAGTTACAATCAAAATGAAATCACCGAGTGGCTTCCTGTCTGCATACCAAGCTCCACTGCTTGCTGTAAGTATCAAGAAAATGCATGAAATTTAGGGCTGGTGTGCTGCTCATGTTATGGTCAGTGCTTACAAGGATCACTTCTTTAAAGCAGTTTGTGACTGTTGAAAAACACCTGCAAAAGTCCTAGTAAGTAAAGCTGAAAGTGTGCAGAAATGAAAATGCAAGATTACCTTTTGTTACCTTTAAAAGTTGTTTCTTGCCCCGCTAAGGCCTGTTTTTCCATTTAAAACAAAGTTGTGGGGTGGGAAGACAGCAAATAACTATGTAACAACTAGAAATCTGACACCATACCCTCACCAAAATATTGTCCCCTTATTGCCCCCAGCCCTGCTGCCTGTATTTCTGTTCATCGATTTGTGATCTATCAAGAACTTTTAAACAAGCCATGGCATCTTTTCTTCCACCAAAATTTTCATTTCACGTTGCTGTAAAGTGGACATTGAGCCATTGATTTAATTGGATTGTGATTGTTCAACTCAAGATATGCTCTCATTTTATCCTCTGCAGTTCTACGGTGTGATGTGTGGTGTCTACTCCATTCTTACCTTCATCTGGCTGGTTATGATGGCACTGCAGTGGCGGGATCTGTTGAGAATTCAGTTCTGGATCGGGGCAGTCATGCTTCTTGGCAAGTACCAGCCTAGATGAATCCATTGTGGAGATTTTGAGATTCAGTCCCATTGAAGAATGCAGCTGATGGGTTCTGCGATGGCTGACTATGCTTTTTGGCCGTGGGAATCATTGACCTGCTGTGTATTATTACAAAGGGCAGGTTTCTCTTTACTGGACTAGTGTGTATTTTCTTAGGCATTTTGTATTTTTCAAAAATTCACTACTTTGCCTCTCTGTACTGTGGAGGTACGATTATGTGTTGTAACAACGAGGTGTGCTCCTTTTTGTTGGAGGAAGATTTGAAGCTTTGTACAATGGAGAAGTAAATTATGGAGATTTTCTTTTCTCAGAGCCATCGCCATCTCACTCAAGAAATATATGATGTGGTACTATTGCAAACCTTTCACAGTTGTCTCTGTTATTTCGGGTCCTCTTGTGTCCAGGCCTACTTGAGAAGGCAGTGTTTTATGCAGAGTATGAAAACGTGAACAAAACTGGCATCTCTGTGCCTGGAGGCATCATTATCGCTGAGCTCTTGTCCTGTGTCAAGCGTTCCTTGGCTAGAATGCTGGTTATTATCGTCAGCTTAGGATATGGCATCACAAGGTGAGCACATGTCACTCATCCTTTTCTAAACTTCAGTGTAAATCATCCCAGATCCTTTAAAATCCACTCAGAGGTTTTGGAAGGATTGCATTTTTTAAGAAGTGTCTAGTCTCTGTAAGTTAATAGGGAGCTAGGGGATTTTTAAAATGCAATGGGAATTTTTGATTTTTTTAATAATAAAAAGCTGTGGAAGTATAGGGGTACATTTGTTAAAGTTCCAAACCAAATCAATGAAAGATTTGTGTAGATAAACTGGTATTGTTTGATTCTTGATTTGACTGACAAAAACTCCAAATCATATTGCCTTTGATTTTAACTTTGGTCTATCATGTTAGGAAATGGCAGAGTATGACTTTGTGAGAGTTAGCAGCTCTGAAACTAGCCATGTGATCTGTTAAAACCCAATCCGGAGTTACAGAATCCAAGACATGAAAAATCAGTTACATTCATGGTATTGGAAGAGGCGGGAAGTGAAATCAAATAGTTTCCTTTCTGTTGTACCAATTTCTGTTGGTATGTTGGTGCTAATTAACCCTAACACTCCTCAATCCTTCACCTGTTGGAGGACTGAGGAGTGTTAGGGTTAAGCTTAAGTCTGTTTCACCACCCCTCCCTCTTCCACAACAGACCTCGACTTGGCAGGGATCTTCACTGGGTGTTGGGAGCTGGGATGCTGTACTTAATTCTGAGCTCAGTGGAATCGTGTCTGAGGGTCGAAGGAGTAAGTGCATGAATGATTCAGCTCTGTCTCAAGTGGTGATTTGGGCAATACAATCTTGTCTCACCCGCGTTATTTTAATCTTGTGGCAAATTAAAGGGGAAAAATTCCCTACGTCGTGGCAGGTTAGCACTAAGACTTGGTTTCAGTGTGTAAAAGTAAAAATAAACACACATCTGACTACTGACGCTTTTTTGGGTGAGGTGAGCACATGTTGTAGCATGAGCACAGTGGAATTCTGCATCAGCGTTCAACATTGTGGGCATCTTTTGACCCCTCCCTGTCCCCTACCCCCATGGCAGGTGGTGTCAGTAAACTTGAGCAGTTTATTGATTGACGATTTGAATGAAAAAGTAGAAAAAAACCGTTAATATTCATGTTTATTTATCAAGCAAGTAAAGCTATTCCATTCTATTTGCCTTCAGATAAGGAGCTCTCTGAGAGTGGTGTATTGCATTTACTAAGTGTGGGCATGGTGCCTTGGAGTGCTTCCTAAAGTGCAAGAAGTGTGGTTTACAATTTTGGAATTAAGGCGTTGTTGTGAGACTTGGAGCAGTTCAGGAAATATAGACTTTGGGGGGAAAGTGATTCAGTTGCTCTAAAACTTTCCTCTTTTTGCTGTGAGCACAAATATTTATTTCTGGCTCATTGGCTGTAGAGTAGTTAAGCACTTTCAGATAAACACAGAACAGAAAACACAGAAATGCTTGTACTTAAGTACATGTGTAAGTTCTGCAACAACTTGTCAAAACCAAATCTTGTGTCTAGGGGACAAGTTATGTTTTACAGTTGGCTTTTGTATTTGTTTCGAGAATTACATTGCTTTCTGTGTTGAAGACACATTCATTCGTTGTCTCTTTTCATTTCTTCAGACTGAGCAGCACGACATGATTGCTATTCTTCCATTGGCTGTGCTAGATGCCATCATCTGCTGGTGGATATCCTTTTCAGGAAAACGAAAATCGCATTAAATATCAGACCAAAATGACTGACCAGTTCACGCCCAGAAAAAGTTGTATTTTGGGCAATATGCCAAGGTTTTACTGTGAAGATTTTATTGAGTGAAAACTTCAAAGTCCTTTGCGTTGGTGTGATGTGTTGATGTCTTGAGATATTTGCAGAATGAAATTTTGATATGGCATCACAAATTTGTGCTTTGCCTGAAGTGCGAACCTGTCTTAAGGCTTCAAGTAAGACCTCATACCACCAGTGATCTTGCCAGGGATTTAAAAGCATATCAGGCCGATACACTATGAAAAAAAACCAACACGCTGTCAATCTCCCGATACGCAATCGATATGCTTTTATTTTCCGGGGAAGAGTTCTGATGTTAAGTTTAAGAAACATTGCAATCAGAGATTTGAAAAATTTCTTTGAAAAACTCTGAACAGTTACCAGAATATCAGCAAAATGCACGGAAATCAACGAAACGTCCAAAACGCAGCGTAGAGTAGGCTAGGGACACACATGTTCCGCACCTGTCACGCCTCTGGCATGTTGGGCAGATGCCCCTATCCTTTAATTTTATCCTGGCTAGAACCCTGCATGCCACATGCACTTGTAAGAACTGGTAGTTCCAAATGGACCCTAGTTTGGCCCTTCAGCTATTTGTTGCCAGAGTCTGTTAATTCAAAGTACTTTGTAGTCAAATCTGAATCTACTCTCTTGAAGCTCTCGAAGAATATTGCTTCGTAAACATTTTCAGTTTCCTTAACGAGGCGTTTACATTTTCAAAAGCCTTGTGGACACCACCCGTACACTGCGTCTGCGCAGAAACATGGTCAAGCTGTGGCTGTACCGACACTTCACTAACACTCTCATCTTCTGTGTCGTGGCTGCAGTGATCTTCCTACTGTGGTCCACCAAAACCCATCGCTGGACCGAGTGTATGAAGGTGATTGAATGTATATTGAATTTGGCTGTTCAGAATGCTGCAGGAAACTGGGGGAAACTCTGCAGGAGAATGGAAATAAAAGGGCCGAATTTTACACTCATGTTCTCTTATTTTCTTCAAATGTTCTTTTTGAGGAATTGTTCTCATGTACTGGTTTTTGTTTTGAGTTTGTACTTTTATTTGCATGAAACTATTTACATCCCTTGTGCTTATGTATTGAAATGTGCCCTTTTATAACCATTAATAATTTTTTTTGGGCAGCTTGGACACTGTCACAGTGATGCCAATCAGGATAGACTCTGTTCATTTTATAGGTTTTCTTGTGACAACTGTGAAACCAAAATTTGCTCATTGAAAACATCCCTGAGAAAGGTTTCCTCATTAGTTTAATGTTATGTACTTACACAATAATCGCTGAGGAAGAGGAAATTTAGGTCTGCAACGTATGAAAAACTCAATAATTTTTTTACACCTAAGTCAATGTAACATAGAGGTTTTTTTCCTGAGATGACATCTCAGGGTTACTAATAAGTAGGGAAATTGGTATTGTAATAAAACCCCCAAAGATGCCAGAATACCCTGTAAAAAGCAAAACAAAGTTGAAAATAAGGTCGATTGAAACTCAAACAGTGCATTTTCAAGGTCGTTATGAAAGAAATGCATTGCATAGACCCTTAGCCTCTTCAGACTTCTTCCTTTTATGTCTCCACACCTTTCCATGCAGAGTTAGAACTCGCGTTCAAAGCCACTTGAAAGGCTTTGCCTCACAAAGCCCTTCAAGTTTGTGTGGCAGGGTCAGGGTCAGAAATAAGAATTAAAGTCAGCTTCGAGGAACTTAGCATCTGCCCTGTGTGATTACTGTTAAACACAGTTCCATATTTTTAAGAGGCTTGAGGCTGTTCGTTGCCTTTTTCTTTGCTTGTAGAAGTTTACAGTAGGAGTGCGTAACTCTACTCAACCGAAGGACCTCACACGATTGAAGTACTCACAATTAATTTTCTCCCTGTCCTCTGCAGAAGTGGAACGAGCTGTGGTTGGATGACGCTTACTGGCACGTCTTGTTCTGCATCATCCTGATCGTCATTGTTATCCTCTTCCGCCCTACGGCCAACAATCAGCGCTATGCCTACTCCCCTCTCACCGACCGAGAAGCGGATGACGAAAGCCACGAGCCCATGCTCAACGATGCATTTGGTACGATGAAGACAGCACACTATCAAACCTGCAAATCATTTGTAAGGTTGCCCATATTGGTAACCTGAAACATGTATGAGAATGTGGAATGTGTATGACACTGTGAATATTCTTAATGCTTTCTAGTCTTCTCCATCTTTAGCTGAATGCTTCAGTTTCTTGGAATTTGTTTGCTGGGTTTAAGACCCTCCAGCTAAAACCCAGCTCCTTTGCCTTTCAGTAGAAACCTTTGTATATGGAATACGAATGAATTTTAAACCCAAAGTGGAGCTTGGCACAAGGTTTAAAGCATAGGCATAGTAGAGATTTGGGAAAACAGCTTATTTTGGTCACCATTCACGTTTTTTGTTCTGGCTAGTTTGTGTTTTGGAGTGGCAGTTCATAGGCGGATTGGGGGAGGGGCCTTCCCCCCTTCCCCTGAGCAATTCTATTTTTTTTTATAAATAATGAAAAAAAGGTGTCTTTTAGAGGCTTTCATTTCCTGTCCCTCAAAATGCCTGAAAATGTAACCATACTTTCAAAAAGGCCATGAAAAGTTTCATTTGAAAAAAATGTTTTCGTAAAAAACATTAATTTTGGCCCTCTGTAAAATTTGTTTTGGAATCCAACTTTGGTGAAAATTGGAAAGTTGTTGGCTTTTTTAATGCGTGTCTTCTGCCACTGCATTGATATTTATCTGAAAATCTTCTCTCTATTTTTACACCATTTTTTGGTCAACAGAGGGAATGAAGATGCGCAATGTTGTAACCAACCGGAACGAGAGCCAAAGCTCTAACAAGGTTGAGGATGACCTGAAGTGGGTGGAGGACAACATCCCTGCCTCAGTGGCTGATGCGTAAGCCCTGTGTTCCTGTCCACCCTAACCGTGCCCAGCACAGTCTGTTGACCAAGGGGCAATAGAACCTTGAATAGCCTCCTGCATGACTCAGAACATTTCCGGTTGTACCAAGTTGAAAGTGTCCCTATCAGTGTTGTATTCGAGTCCTTCACAAGTCCCTGTAAGACCATCACATGTCATCCAGTCTTAAGCTAATTCACAAGCTATTCAAATGAGCTGTGACAAAAGCATTCTTTTGTCATTGTTCACCCTGTTACTTATGACTGGCCTTGTGAAGGAACTTGTGACTGACTTGTGAAGGGTCTTGTTGAGATGGACTCGAATACAATTTTAGTCCCTATATCCACATTCACATTGGGATGTGGAAATTACCCATCAGACATATGGTACTTCGCCCATATTTAATTATATTTTTATGTGTTTATCGCAGGATCCGCAAAATTATGGAAAAACTTCTGAAAGATGTGATGTCAGGAATTTATATCCGAATGCACCTTGAAATGAAACTTTCCCGACAAATGACTGACTTGCTTGACCACATCACAGATTTCTTTGACCACATCAGTATTGTACACCTGTGCAGTCCCAATTGTAACACAGTGCACTCCAGCTTGGTGTCGTCATTTCTCAGGTTTCTGGAGTTGAACACTGTTAAATGCACTCCTCCGTCAAGCAGTGGCCAACATTGACAGAACATCTTTCCCCTTCCTCTACAGTGCTCTCGGTGCCTTTGACGACTCAGAGGAAGAGCTCGTCACCAACCTGGAAAGAAGCAAGCTAGAGTAGACAACACTACCCTCCTAGGGATCCACCAGTAATGTGCAGGTGCACCTGCATAAAATAGTCAGCCAAACAATGCTGTGGACCTGTGGCCATAATATCCAGCTTTGGGCCCAAGTAGACATGTATCTCGCCAATGTAGTCAAAGCCTGGATACATTACGAACGTGGCCTTTTTGTCCAAGTGGCATGATCATTGGGTAGATTGTACAAGTATAAAAAATATTGTAAACCTACATAAATTGACATTCGAAATAACTCAAACGGTTTCTTTTTTTCCGCTAAGTAACTTTTTACTGCACATGAATTATTAGGGTGAAACAATTTGGTTAGTGATTGTTGTGCCTTTTTTTTTTACACTTTTTTGGATTGAGTAATATTTAAAAAAAATGAAATCTTCCATTCAAAAGTTCTAAGATCATGAGCTGACAAATTTTTCAAGCTCAAAACTTTTTTTTGGTTACAAATTCCATGCTTGGAATTCCTTTAACCCCTTCACGGCGGGATTATTTTGACCGCGACTGCTGGGCTGTGGTGTGCCCTGAATGGAGGGCTTTGTCCAGCAGCAGGCCCCGTTGAACCAGCAGCTGCATAATGAATAGAGTGTATGTGTGGTATGCAGTCCTCCGTAGCAAAGGGGTTAAACGTAAGTTAGATGAAACGTAAATCAGAACATAACAAATAATCATTCGATTCAGTGAAATGTAAAAGAAAAGGAGTAATTAATCATTAATGGTAAACATTTTGTCCTGGGATCAATGACGAAATCATGTTGTCTTGCCAGCCAAGTGGTTTTGACCCTTTTATGTGCAGTGTTATACGTGGGTGTAAGGAATAAATACTTTATCTAGAAATAGGTTGTCATGATGTAAATGCTCAAACAAACAATTTTTTTCTCGAAACAGTATCAACTTCCAAATGGTTCATGGTAATTAGTTTTCTGTCATTTTGTTGCACCTGTAACCTGAAGTTGAATCAACTATTACATCAAACTGTGGTTGTGCCTTTCTGTAGAAATCACACTTATTAATCGAAAATAGGACCACCTTTTTAGTGAATAATAGGCAACATGAAATATCGTGCTGCATAGTTGAAACAGTAGTAACGAATTTTTGACTCAAAATTCAAAAACACACACACAAAAAATCTGTGGCCCCATTCATGAACCTGATATGCCACATTTTCAAACTAAAAATCTAAACAACTGGGGTGGCCTATTTTTTTTAACATAGAAGGTGGTAATATTCTGACCAAACAGAAAATTCCAAGAAGCAAAATCTTAAACTATATTTTTTTTCAGTTTCATGTCTGTGTGGCATATCAGGTTCATGCATGGGGCCACAGAAATATACTGATCCTGAAGCATAACTGCTCATATATTGAAAGCTTGTTTGCATGTTTTCCCTTACTTGAGCAGGAAAACATGTTCAGAGCTGTGTGTACCTTCTTTCTGATGTAGGAGTCCATTATATATTTCCATGATGCTGTTACTGTGGTGATAAAGTCTGGAAAAAATTCCATGTTGTTGACTCTCGGTGCAAATCATGAAAGAATGCTGGAGTGGTTGGGTAAGCCGTTACTTCTTTAAAGTTATCAGATTGGCTTTATTTAAAAATGCTGGTACAAAGGTCAGACAGAGTAGACAGGGGGTATAAAAATACCTGAATCATGTTTTGACTTTTTTTGTAGAAGTGTTCATTTAGTGAATTGCTAATTGTTTGTAATCATTATCTGGTTTATTGATCCAATTTTCTTGGGGTTTTGTTCGTCTCAGATTTTGTATATCCCGCGTGCATGTTTTTATATTGTGTTATTGGACAGTATATCACAAGCTGCTTCGATGTGATTCTACTCAGATGTATTAAAATGCATGATTTTATAGAAATTAATCAAAAACATAAACACCTGAGTAAGAAAATATGTAAAATTGCTAAATGGTATTGAAAACACCATTATTTATAAAAAAAAAACCAAAACAAATACAGGCTTAACCCCCCATCCCCAAAAATCATCAATATTCTAAAAACAATAGAGTACCGAAGTGAATATGTCACACGCACAATTAGTGTGTAAAAAAGGCATTAGCACGAGAACAGCGTGTGAACCAACATGCGCGCGTACTCCATTCGTTTGCACTGCACTTTCTGGTTCACAGTGACGTCACACTTCAGTAATCTATACAAACAGGCCAATAGTTTTTAAAAAGACATTGTCGGCTTCTGATAAAGACTAATCCCAGGAGATGTCACTATTGCAGTTGCCCCACTTACACCTATGTTCTAAACAGCTCCCCTATTGGTTGAAGAGGTGTGGAAGGTTGAAGTGTTAACGCTTGCCTACCTCCTGTGCACGAGCTAAGTACTACTTCAGCAACTTTGTCTAATTTAGTTCTGGATGATTCTTTTAAAGTCTTCAGGTCACCCCTTCAACCACAGTGCACGTGAGGTGTTTTAATACTTAGTAGTTCTGTGTGCTTCAGTTGTACCCCTTTTTCATTATTCCAAATGCTGCTTGAGGGCAAATGACCTCATTATTTGAACTATTGTTAAATGCGCACTGAATGAGGGATCTACATGTATGTCAACCTTTGGGGAGTTGTAAATATGTGTAAAAATTCCAAACAATTCTAGTTTTAAAGGCTTGTCATGAAAGTTTTGAGGATTCTGTTGTTTCAAAATGGACACAATATTTGACGGAATAATACTTTTTGCAGAGTTGTTTTTCAGGATGTTGTTTTCTGAGGTTTTGAGTAGAGCATAGATGTATTGAATTGCAGTTAAGACAGAAATTGATGGTTCAGTTAAGGTTAGAGGAATTACTGCACGAAAGCTTTGGATTGAGCCATTTAATTATCAGGGTCGCATGAACAGATAGAACTTCCTGTTATGCACTGTAAATCAGTGCGAGGTGTACAGGAAGTGTTAAGGGGAAAAACTGGCTATCTGCCCTAATGGCTTTATCCACTGCATGACAATCCACAAATGGGTCGCTGTCTTTACATCTCTGCCATTGTTTTGTAGAAGTGAGGTGCTAAGTTAAGGACAAATCCTTTCTTGTAAAGAATGGTAATATGACTTGTTTATTCTTATAATTGCCATTACTTTTTGGTGATTTTTTTTTTATTTAAACTTTGTTTTACTTCCATTTTCAAATCTTAATACCTTCATGTATGTAATGTAATTTATCAATATTTACATTTGGCCAAGTGATAAATCAATGAACAAATCAATCATTATTAAGTTGTTGGTCATTTTTGTCTGCTAATTGGAGGATTTGCAAAACACTTGGGGGATGTCTTTGAATATCCTCTTTGTTCTTCAAAGCTGTGATAGAGAAAATGCATGACTGCATTTTTAACTTGGACTATATGCCCAAGGGTTGAAGGGGGAAAAATGTCCCGAAATTTCACATTTAATGATGTCATGGTTTGTTACATGTGCCCTTTCCTAAGGCAGTGAGATGGGACACGATTTAGTAGGTACCAGTCGGAAAGCTTGCATACAGTATGACGTCATTATGTTTTAAGTTTATTATGAAGTTATTCCTAGTTATGATTCTCAGAATTGTTTTTCACTTTTCATGAGATGTTAGTTGATGTAAAATTAGCAAAAGTGCTTCAGGAAAACATGTTTTCAAAAGCATGGTGAGGGTTATGTGTTCCTATAAAGGGGTTCCACTCTTTCCATGACACAATTATATTTTGCCTGCTAGTGGCAGGTAACACTGTGGCCATCAGTACAAGAGCAAAAGAATATTTCAAAAAGTGTTCGAAATGTCCTGTTTGTATTACAAAACCAAATAATGAACAATACACTACTAAATGAAAATATGACCTTCTTTAAAAGTGATGGAGTGTATGTGCATTTTGAGGTAGAAACCAACCAAGGATGATACATGCACGTGTATTTCTGTAGACTTTGACCACACATATGAATAGGAGGCAACATGAGAGGGGTGTATACCCCCCAACTTAGCGTGCCTAAATGCATATTCAGAAGTAGTAAACATTGTTGACAGTGGCCTGATGGAGTCATGTCATTGGGTGTTTAGTCATCAGTACTAATCAAACCCACGGTTATTAATTTGTGGTCTATTGATATTGATTTTGTTAACCAATTAGTAATTGGAAAACTTAGAAATTTTGTTGTGTATCATTATGTGAAGAATGTCAGCGTTTGTTTCTGTCAGGAAGTTACATCAGTAACATTTGTAGTTTAGGTGGATACTGCATGCTATGGTTAGACTGTTACTGTCTTTGTATTACTATAAGTTTTGTGCTTATCAGAAATAGCTAGACCACAGTCACATAACGACTGAGCCTGTGGAACATTTCATTTTGTGAGAATTTTGGTCCTCAATAAAGTCAATAACAAACCACGGAGCAGTAACTTTTTTGTGTGGAAAGTTCTTGAATTTTCAGTGGTCAGGTATTATATACATGTATAGCCTCAAAGGAATAAGCTTGGTAATTTCATTTGTGAAAGATATGGGGTGGACAGTCTTAATGGCAGAATTTCATCATTAAATTTAGGATTGATGACAAGATTAGAACTTGATATCTGTATTCATATCAGTGCATCCAAGCAACATCCCAAGCTACTTTTGGAACTGTGCTCTGTAGAGGAGGACGGAGACAAGTCGGGAAGCAGTTACAAAAGATTCCCCCACCGTCTTCCATGTGAATGTGCGTGACTTTATTAAATCACCTCCATGATTAAATCATCAAGGTACCGGTAACGAACATCGTAAACCACTCCCCAGACTGCACTCATGCACTTCATCTGGATTTGTTTTACCAATATATGACAACTAAATAGAAGACAGACTGATCTGAATACCGCCCTTACACTAGCAATAAATGTAAAAAGCCAAAAACCGTGAGACACAATGTGGCAACGCAAAGTGTACCTTATCAAAACTTATGGAACTCATGACGCCCCATGGCCAAGACATGTATATGTACAATGTACATGTACATGTATATTACATAGTTGAACATGTACCGCTCGTCGTGTGCTGTATAGAGTACGCACTCAACTCTTCCATAAAACGGAATCAGGTTAAAACCGTGTAGTTGAAGTACCAGTTAAGTAGCCTGGTAACCAGACTTATTATCCATTTTCAGTGTCAGTGTAAAGCTGCTGCTACGGGTATTGCAGCGTCGCTGTCTGCCATAAACAGTTTCCATCTATCCGCTGCTTGAGTTCAGCGCGGATGCACAAAGCCAAAAAAGACCCGGAGGAGCAAGGTCGTCTTTGTTTGGTGGAAGATTTGGGATACCTGTACCAAATTCCTCCATTATTTTGTGAAATCACTCACAAATCGTTGAACGATCTCAATCGGAATTATGGTCGTGATGGATAGAAATGGGAATTCGGACTCCAATCATCGGCAGAATGGTGCGAGTTCGGCTGGCGGTAGTTCGAATAACAGCAACCCCTCGGACGATAGTTCAAGCAGTTCGGAGGATGAACATGGTAAAAAAGGAACACATTGAAAACAAATTAAAGGGAATGAAGGGACGGTACGCGTAAAATATATATTGTTTAATTTGATTTTTGTTAGGGTTGGGGACCTTTTTAAGGTGGAAATATGTTTTACCTAATATTATTTGCAGTTATTTTGCTTGTTTTGTCATGCTTGTGGAATGTTAATATTTGGCCATGAAGTACATGTACCATAGAGGAACCTTCCTCCATGCATGTACTGATGTAGGGGTTTGGCCAAGGGGGTGCAGTAAGATTTTTTTTAATTACAAACAGTAAAAAATGTATTAAGTATAACTAGGGATGGCATAAATCCTTGTAACAAATATGTTGTTCACACATAAGTTACATTTAGTTGTCAGTTTGTAGTTTAGAGGTTTTGATGTACGTTTTAAAACTAGGCTAAACTGTGTTGTATCATGCAAGTTTCAACATAAGTTTCTGTGCTTGATCAGTTGACGAAAAAGTTGGGTCACTAACCTTGTCTAATCCAGCCAGACTTGATATGATTTACATTAACCCTCCTATGCTGAAGTCACTCTTTGGGTCATTTGGTG